GTTCAAAAGGAGTGCGCCTTCGATGGTTGTGCACAGCAGAAGCACTGGCAATTCATCAGTTCAAACCTGATCTCTTAGTGCAAACCAAGTATATTCACTCTCCTATCTTACCATGGTACTAACACATCCACAATCTTTCGATTTCATTACAATTCGTTAGTTTATTACTATCACCTTCATTATGATCTTTGTGTCATTCTTCACCTTCTTTACATCTGTCTATCCATCAAGTGGACACTCAATATTCACATTTCTTATCTACTAACAATTTCCACGTTATCTAACTCCTTGCCTTCCTCGAAACTTGAAGACTGTGGAGGTCAGGCACAACTGTACGCCTAATATGATCTCATCAACCAATATTTCAGTTCTCTGATTAAATATCTTAACTACTTCCTAATCAAAACCATCTTCCACAATGTGAAGCATATTGTTGGATTCAAAATTCTCCAGAACTAATAAACTTAAAGATAAAAACAGACTGATCACATCACTGCTAAACAGTTTTTTAAACGATCTATTAGAAAAATACATTACTTGGCGTAATAGTAATGATTGATGAACGGACTTACTAGATGAGAACAGTAGAACTTGAAATGACTAAATTTCAACTTGAACCTCATCACTAAAATGTCCGCCACCTAACTTTAGCTTGACTGTTGAAAATTTCTTGTTTCAAAACATTGGACGACATTACGGAATACTGATCATCAAAATAATGAACCAAGAAAGCGATTAGTAAAGTCCTGAAATCTTTACAAACTTGAAGAATTAAAACATCCAAACACGATTTCTATCAGAGTAGTGCTATCTAAGCGAAATCTTAGAGTTCAATGGGTTTTTTAAATTCTCAGTAAAGCCATATGGAAAACATAATGTCAAGCTGTTATCCTATCATAGAGCAAAAGTATTTACAAATAACACACCTGCAATTACTCATTTACATGTGATTCTGTGTCGATAATATGGTTAACCGTAAAATCTTTTTCAGATTCCATCTCAATTCTTTTTCATGTTACAAATAAATGAAGGATGGGTGAGATAACCGAAATGACCTTGAAAGGAAAATAAAATAAATTACAAATCTCACGTGTCTTCATTCATCAATCATTAGGATACAACAAACACAAACAGAAAAGCAAATAGATTGTTTTCTAGAAAAAATAGCACCAAAAAAAAAATAATTAAATCATAATATTAATTTTTTTTACTTACACAAATAGAAATTTGTGTTTTCGATGCGATAACACCATACAAAAATGTTAGTTAATTGAATTGAACATTTAACTAATTAGTCAGTTGACAGGTTAATGTATTTTGCAACAAAAACGTCAAACTCTTTCCTGGATCTTAGAGAATAACAGAAGTTTTGAAAACAAACAAGATTGCTCAGAATATTGATTATAAATAATCTTTCCTTATCATTAAAAGAAAATTTGTTGTGTATCACTTAAAGATTCAGTCGTAATCAGTTTCATCCAGATAATAATAGATGAAGACAATTTAAGTATTGAATACCAAATTCATACATGAAAGAACTACTACTGAAATATGGTATCACTGCAGAATTCACATTTCATGATACAACCTACCAGCATGGAATATGGGATTGCCAAGAAATCTACTCTAGGCCATTATTGGTAAATGGGACCATGTCTAGATGAATCACTAAGTTTCGTGCTAACTACGGGTAGTAGTTAGTAATGGAGTTAAAGAAGGGCATTCTTTTCTCTTTGTCACTCGTCAGTTGAATGTGTCTGACTGCAAGGGGGTGGAGTTTTTCCAAATGAAACTCGATCCTAATATCCGCTGTTCAATATATTACTAGGGGAAGATAGTGACTACCTGTGAGATGGGTATATTTAGGTGCTACACGTGAAATTTTCCCATAGTTGATTATTATTCACCAATCTGAGCAGCTTTGAATGTCCTCTACTTATGACAGACTATCCTGTTTGTTTCCATATCCTCTAAACGAAACGAAACAAATTCTTGTACACATGTAAAACACTAAAGTTGTCACTCAAGAAAATTGTACTTAATCACTACTGTACAGTTTCGAAAATGAAATAGCAGAAAAGAATCTTTTCGATGAACCACAAGACCTTTCTGATCAAAATATATCCTTCCAATCCCAACATCTAGTCTGTAGACTAAAGGTAAAAGCATCACAATGTATGGAGTTTGGCTTTTACCTGTTTTCTGATATGATCTGATGGTAGCCATAGACTTACATCTAGTTTCATAGTCCTTGCTTTACCTCAATAGTGAGAAATGAAACCCTTAATTCTTTTAGAAATGCAATGTACTTCAGTCAACATTACAAATATAAGTATTATTTATGAGTTATTTGACTTTAAATAAATCCGCATACGACTGGACTCTTATTCATTGTTTTATTATTTGTCCTTTGGGTTCCTAGTGGAGCATAGGGTTTCACTACCACATACCCATTTCATTCTCTCCTCTGCAGTCTTCTCAGCCTAGCTCCAACACTCCCCAGAAGCTTTTATTTCTTCCTCACACCACCTCCTTCATGTCACCCTCAGCTGGGATGCCCAACTCGTCGCTTTCACTTAAGCTTCCACTCAAGGGTCTCACCTGACCTGATTAGTGATATCCCCCAAATGGTATTCTCAGTGTATGTTCAGTCCATCTCCACTTTCTTCTGCATATTTGTTGGTCGATGGATTCTTGGTTGGTTCATTGCCTGGTCAGAGTGGCTTCCTTCTTGCTCATTCTTATTATTCTGACCATCTGATCTCCAGTATTGAGATTAGGTAGCTGTTGATGAATGTCTGTAGTTTGTTGGAAGGAAATACTTTTCGTAACAAGTCAACTCTCTAACCATCACATAGAAGCACTGAGTTGATATGATATTAGTGTTGAAAATCCGGATGTTGTTCATGCTTCACGCATCATGCTGACTGGAGTGGAGTAGATGTGCACACTGATTATTTGAGAGTGATGAAGATGTGTCTTGCTGTTTTTCCGATGCTGACTATGACATCATAATATGTGTAGTTGAGGGGATACTGCTTATGTGGTAGGTGAAAGAGACTACATTTTTTGGGTTTCTCCCGTTGATGGTGATTAGTGCTCCCTGTTTGTTATGTTGGTTGAATATCTTCATCACCTCTGTCTTCTGTACGTTCACCTGAAGGATGTCCCATCTTCCTTCTCTACCTCGCCTTGCCTAACCTCCTTCTGTTAGTTTTTGCTCGTAGATCTTTGAGTTTGTACGACAATTATCATCAGTGAAATCCAAATCTTTTAGGATCTTTTCATAGGTCCAGCCAGCATATACCCATCTTCTCGCTCCTCACGGTTTGCTGCATGATCCAGTCAACCACAATCAGGAAGATCATCGGTGATAGTAGGCAGCCCTCGCCTAGATAACTAGTTCACTGGTTACTAGCCGGTCTTAAGCCCGGATAGACACGCAAGGTTGAGCATAGGGCTAGCAACCCTACCTTGTAAAACCAATCTAACCGCTAAAGAAACCTCAAAACACGCCTGGTTTCTAAACACCATTTTATGGCCAGTTGGTTAACGACATGTTATTCTTCATAGCTATGTGCTGATGAAGTTTTGTTGGTGGAGTCGTGATATGTTTCCTGGGACTGTTCAATAATCGGAGCAGCTGGTTTCAAAGGGCTGATATCATTAGGTGAGAAGACACTGATATGACATTTTCACTTGATAGATAGACTTGATCTCATAATTTAACTACTCATAATACAAAAGTATCTTTACATATTTGGTTAGATATTCAAAAGCCTTTTCAGAGTTCACCTTTGTAAATATTTGTCTACTATTTATCACTGGAGGCCTGGATGGTTCAAAATTATAGCTTCTTAGTGTTGTGTAGAACAAATCATATATGATTCTTAGGTTGTTAGTAAGATGTTTGGTTTTCTAAATAGGTATCCGAGATAAACCTAGGAGACAATTCGTTAGTGTCTACAAAGAGCGCACAGAATGGACTGTATGCAAGTGTATCCCTCAAAATTACATGAAACAGACTGTAAAAGGATGAATTACAATGATACCCTATAATATGTGTCAAATGAAAAATTAGGTCTGGGCAGAATTCAAATCAGTGACCTTCTGGCGACGCGTTGAGTGCTCTACTAACTGGATCAGGAAACCCAACTAGTGACAAGGTTTTTTCTTCTGTTCAGTCACCTATGGTTTCGCTGAAACGACAAGTCCATGATACTTTACTATTTGTTCATTGTAATCACAATGGTTGCTGAATTAAGTCGGAGCAGGGTCTTGTAGCTCAGTTGGCAGAGCATCGGAGTGGTAATCCTGAGGCCACTAATTTAAATCCCACTGTAACGGATGTTTTCATTCCACCTTTAGTCGTCAGCCAGCACCAATAACACCAGTCTAAGAAACTACAGCTACCTCAGATAGTCTCAGTAATAACATGCATAAAATCGAGTAAAATAACGAGCTAAAACAAGTGGATGAATTCACGGAACACCATTGAATATAGACAAGAGTTGTTAAAATATCACTGAAGTATCTTGAAACGATCGCACTTCTATTGGTAATATATACCCAGCCTCATTAACCCCAGTATTTAGTTAGCTACATAATATTGTCCTACACTGTAAGTTCCACAGACTTACCCTGGGACCCTAAAACCCATAAATGAGTTATGAGTTATTGGGCAGGGACCGCTAAAATTAGGTTTTCTCACGGGTACTCATCAGGGGGACTTATCTGAAACACTGGGAGACCTCTAACTCCATCAGAAAAAGAAATCCGCACAGTTGATCATTGAGATCAGGTACTGTATTACTAAATATTCTGCTGAAAAAGGTATGGTATACACAGCGTAAAGTTTTGAAAACATTTTGCTTTCATTTCCTAAATACGCTGCGGTGACATTAGGACTTACTTTCGTTATAATTTATTACAAAGCAACTATATTTTGCACAACACAAATTGGTCGTGCAATGATAAACACTATCTTTTTTATTTCGTTAATGCTAACTCAAGTCTGTCGATCACGTTCATTTTATAAGGTAAGATAGCGTCTTTCTACAAAGTGCCAATCAATATCATTTTTCATCTTTCTAATGCCACGTAGATTGTCAGCAGAAATACCAAATAGTGATACATCACCAGTCAAAGAAGGAGCCACTTCTTGTGTGATGGATATCGTTTTAGTGTTATTGCTTGTATTATACCGTCGTTGATTGGACCGAATTGATCGGTCTCTATTGGCATATGGGCTCCTGTGTGAATGCCTCGATATACCTGTGTTCTAGATTAATAAAGATGGGTGTTAATAATAATAATGATAAATGACTATTGTTTTTTAAACAAAGATTATGAATATTATGATAAACTATAGAATTATTGTGTGTTCTATGTGTACAAATTGTAGGTATGAATCATGTACTACGAAGGTTAATCAGATGTACTGTGTATTTTATCATGTTTTTTTCTTCTAAACTTTGGGGCCAAATGACTATTTACACATCTGATAAACATGTAAACTATTTAAGCTCAATGGATACTGTGTTCAAAAATCGATTATCAATCAATGCAAAACTTTGAACAGCACAGATTGATATGTTCAATTAACGCACTGAACAACTACCCACAATATAAGTAGGTTTTTGTCAGAAGACAATCAATGATTATCTGTGTTACTGAACTGGGAATAGGGAAGTTATGGGAACAAATAAAATAGACTAGTTAAGTGGGAGAGTATGTAGTCTATATCATTGACTGATATGATTACTGGTCTAGCTAATCACACGGTTTATTCATCGTTTCGGTGTACATCTGATTCATTTTCCAGTCGCTTAACTATGATTGTTTGTCGCAAAACGAAAGTACCTTGAATCGCTATACCGTACTCTATCATACATCAAATAAAGTTAACTATTCTAAGCTGATAACATGAAATGGACATAACTATTTCACAAGTTCCTCTTTTTATATGGTGCTATTGGAACAGCTAGATGAAACAAGTTGACTAACGCCTTGCATACAGCTACTGATAAGCAGGATTAGTTAGTCATTGCTCACATGAATGAACATTGTTCCATGAAACGAAATTGAAGTGAGAGACACCTTTAATTTGGATCAGTCAGATAAAGTGCTATTTTGCCTTCATCTTGGTGAATAACAATGGAATCTGGGACTCGTGTTTCGTCCTATCTATCTAAGACTCGTCGGCTGGATTTACTTGCAATCCGATGAGTGATGCTGTTTCCACCGAAACTCGAACCCCGGACCTAGCTCTTCAAACGCCAGTGTGTCATCCAGCTTATATAAGACGGGTATCATTTGTTGTTTTAATACTTGTAATTCATCGTTACCAGACGTTCCGGAAGAGGTGGCCTAGTGGATAACACTCTGCAGTTTGAAGCGATGGGTACTGAGTTCGAGTTCCGGTGATAACAACATCACTCAGTGTGGTGCAGGTACATCCAACTGACGATTCCCAAGTCGGATGAAACTCGGATCCTGGATTCCTTTGCTAGTCACCAAGATGAATATAATATCATCAACACCAGACGGATCCGAGGAATCAACATAGGAGCTCATCTGCTTACAGAGATGGAGGGATTTCTACCTTTATAGCAACGGGAAATTACAAGTATCAAGTATCATTGAAGCTACTATTCCACTTTATGAAGGCTTTTTGGTTCAGCTGTCTAGGATCTCTGTAACAACAGGAATAAAGAATGTCGGGAAACGTTAAGTAGAATGAATGAAAAGAAATGTAAACCGGCTAAGACATTGATTTTTCACTACACTCTGAATACTGAATTCTTGAGTCCTGATAAGATAATGATCACTAGACTAAAGGTTCGAATTTCAAGTTGTTTTCAGTAATTGTTCCATAATCAAGAACTAAGTCTGGCAGACAGAATGGCTCTAGACATTTTATGCAAGGATATTTTGCGCTATTTCAATCCGTTGAATTAATAAATTTATCATAAATCGACCAATTAAATACACACAGTTTGATAAAATATGAAAATGTGTTTTATGTGTGTATCATCTTGTAATTTACAGAGGTCATCCAGTCAAATTTCCCTTCATATTCACGATCAACACTTACTTTAAACAAACAACTACCGTTTGAAGAGTTCAATCAGCTATTGTTGGATATTGAACACGAAAAAGATGAGGATGATAATTCAGATAACAGTGAAAATGAAGGGGATACTAACCACAATACAAACAGTCATATACCATTCGAAAACAGTACCAACAATACACAACTGACTCAGCATTCAACACCAATGACTTCAACAGTGACAACTACTGTTACCGAGAATCTTAATCCATCTGTTCATGATCATAACAATCTGACAATAATAAAAAATAAAACAAATATTCCAGCTAAGAGTTCATCTTTCAATAATCAAGTGAAAACTAGTCGTCCAAGTAATGATTTTGAAAAAAATAATCTTCAAGGTCGTCTTTCAATACAAAATGCTAATAACAATACCCAAACTCAAAGCAGTAAATTATTCAGTTCAAAATCAATAAAAGGGTATGTGGTATCGTTTATTTCCTAACGTTACCCGAATTATTTTGAAGAGTGCAAAAAGCTTAGGAACAACTTTATATATATAAAGTATTATAATTAGTATGATTATTTAAACTATTGATTTAAAGTATCATAGGTCAATAAATCAATATAATTTCAAAATTATAAACACTGGATGACCTACATATATACTTTCAGTTATATTCTTTTTGATACTTATGTACTAACTGACTAATATAGTAATATTTTGAGGGAGTTGTGGGGATTTGGAAATATTTCAGGTTGTTATTTATCGTAGACTGACATCAGTTGGAAGAACAAAGGGAACGTAGGAGCACTGGACAGCTGTTTCATCCAAGTATGGGACTCGTCAGCAGTGCGCACCCACGACCCCACACCACCAGGGATCGAACCCGCGACCTTCAGGTTCCGTGGCCAACACGTTACCATTGAGCCACTGAGTCATAACCCAATGGTCCATATTTCCAACTTCTGTTAGCTCATGATATAGCGCAACTGCCACCCAATGTCATCTTTTAGTAACTGTCCTCACGACCATCAATGAGAAGTCGTGACCGGTGGGGGCAGAGCAAGATGACATTGGATGGCGGTTGCGCTATATCGTGAGCTAACAGAAGTTGGAAATATGGACCATTGGGTTATGACTCAGTGGCTCAATGGTAACGTGTTGGCCACGGAACCTGAAGGTCGCGGGTTCGATCCCTGGTGGTGTGGGGTCGTGGGTGCGCACTGCTGAGGAGTCCCATACTGGGACGAAACAGCTGTCCAGTGCTCTGACATTTCCTTTGTTCCTCCAACTGATGTCAGTCTACGATGAATAACAACTTGAAATATAGTAATAGTCAATCTGTTCTATAATTAGTAACTCATTCAATCTGTGCAACTCAGGTGAATTTAGACAGCCATGGGAAGACTAGTGTGATGACAGTAATGTGAAGGATGAATATCGGGTTAAATATGATTCATCCATAGACAACTGGATAGGCGACTGAAGAGAAAATTAGTCTAGTTCAGCAGCTGCATCTCATAGCCTAAACGGGAAGGATTTTCAAGTATTTGGGGGAAGGGGGAAATTGACAAAAACTGTTGTAACTAACATTTCTGTTGACCACGTGACATGTTAACTTCCCTAATCCATCCATCCATACTGTTAACTACCGCCCATGTTCATGCTTTTCAACCTGTACTCTGGATAACCTACGTTCGTATATCCCAGTAAACGTGAGTTTTTCATTAAGCTTATAAATAATACTCAGTTATTAGCGACTAATTGGTTAGAGGAAATCAGAAGAAAGCCCTGCTTGCCCTGGGTTTCGGGCTTGTTGGCACTCTTCAGTAAGGCCTATGTACAATCTTGAAGGGAATGATGTCCCACAGGAGGTCATTCGTGGCTCGTACAGCTAAAAGATAACATCTCTGACTGCAGCACTGGGTGACGTATGCTCGAATCTCAGACGAGACATCAGTTTCCTCAAGGTTGCAAATACACCTTGTCGATGAGTGCCAAAAGGCATGGGAACTAGCTCAAGCAAAGCTTCCTACTGATTTCCCTCGTCCAGCTAACACCAATCAAAGTGCATCGCTGTGTTGAGCCGCCTAGTTTAGTGTCCACATTGTAGAGTGGTCGATAGGAATCGATCAGCTTTCAGAACTAGGCAACATGAAGTTGGTTGCCCTCCAGTGACCGATCAGTGTAAGATTACACACTTTCTGTTGCTTTCAGCGCAGATGTGGATATCTGTTTCCCAATATTTACGTGTTTACTATGCCTTAAAAGTATTAAAGTTGGTTTTTCTGTTATTGTAACGGATAGATGTTTGATTTTAGTGGGAACATACATGCACTTCAAATTAATTTTGTTCCGTAAAGATAACACTAGTTGCTTCTGTAGTGCTGAAGAATTCATAGAAGAGTTCAAGACAATGATTACTAAAATTGGCCAATTCAATGATAGCACATTGTTTTTATGGAAATTCTTATCACAGACAAATGGATGTTTGCATTATACTTAAACTTTTTTTCAAAAAATTACCTAGTTCCCATCTCTAACCCTGGAAACACTCCAAGTGGCTGTTTCCAGGAGGTCATAGTTGTAAAACAGGGTATGCAAGTGTATTTTATCGCCAATGACAGATTTCATCATTGCATTGAGATCTTCCAGAGAATCATCTGAAACTAGGGAGCACTGAATAGCCGCTTGGACTAGTTCGACAGTTTTAAACAATATACACCCGACAAATCACATGGAATCGGGGCTGAATTAACCAGTTCTCATAGGGAGTACTTTGAAATTCAAACACTGGGTTGTGATACATTGACCTATCAACCGGTGATATAGTAATACCATGATCCAGTGTCTTGTGTGACAATCTATTTTATACTGAACCCCCAGCCCCTCCCTCACTTCATTTCCCTTTGGCACACCACGAATTCCTGAAACTTAAGAATCACAAATGTGTCTTTTTCTTCATCTAAAAACAACTGTAAGAAAATGATTATTCTTAAAATAGTTTTCATTTCTGATCAAAATAGGTTAGAGAATCATTAGATAGTTGCTTGAACTTGTCTGGAAACCCATAACACAACAAAAGCTTGATCTCTACATTAACTACTAAGCAGATCTTTTATTTGTACAATCATTTTGTCAGAATCTTGTATGAACAATATCCTAGTTGATCGAAACTGTCGATTTCTGCTTTCATTTAGTGTTGACTTAATGTTTCCAATGTTGATCAGTTCGTCTTACTGGAACTGTATGCATAAAGAATGAAATTATAGCAAGATGAAAAGTTAAGCCTTCAGCAGAAGACAATTATTTTCTCTTTGTGAACTTCTTCGCTAAAGATTATTTCAATCACGTGTATAAATGAAAGTGAAGAAGCAAATCAATCACTTGCAACATCGCAATTAAGGATTGTTTTATCACCTATGAAGAGAGAATTTTACTTGACATGTCTATAATGTTTGCGTCCATAATGCAGATATCCAATGGATACGTTCATAAATGCCTTACCGTTCCAGTGAGTATAACACTACGAATGTATATAATCATCTATAAGAAGTGTGCAATTTGGTGTTTATTCAGTATAGTTTTGAAGAAAAATGCGTCTTTACCTGTTGCTGTTTCCTAAATTGTTTTACAATGGCTGACACTAGTTAGCAAATGTATAACATTTTTTGAAGTAACTGGAAAGAAGTTCGCCTGACACATCTATGAAATAAAAATGATATCTGTAGTCTGTGTAAATAAGTACACTACCAGTAAAATACGCTGGTTACAAACTGTAATCTATCTTTTAGGGGTGGTTCAGATAAACTAACGAATCACTGAAGAATAAACGCTATCAAGTCGCTTAGTCTTCAGGACTTTCGACATAGAGAGATGCAAGAATTTGTTAAACAATTATGATCATGATCAAAATTTACTGTAAAATGATATGCCTTCAACAAACGTACACTATTGATGGACTTCTGGTAGATACTTTGCTTGATTTAGATGCTTCTGCTACCTGTATGCGTAAATCTTCTCTGATCAAATTTATTTCAACACTTTTAAGTTCAAATGAGTAGGTGAGGGTGTGAAATGCATGGAATCATTTCTTTTAATGCTTCCAAAATACTTTTCAATACTTTCTGTGTGTTGAAGATATTCAGAATGACGCTGATGTTGGCTGTAAATTTAATGGTCGACTCAATGTCTCTCTACATATCACATACACTTTGTTAGTGTTATCGGTTTTAGCACTGGTATATGCTTTTCACGTTATCACCCATCATCATCAGTCATATGAAAATGTATTTTTGGTATTTTATCGTGAACGTTTTATCACTTGGCTTGGTGACATCTTCAGCAGTAATTTCATAAAGAAGTAGAGCATATTCGAATACTACACGAATGTTTAGATAGTTTATTTTACTCACCTTGGATGTTGTTCAATTGTAAGTTGAGCAAAAAACTTTTTTATTATCACACCCTGACCTCTTTGACCTGAAATTTCCTTCAGTCACGTCATTAGCTATTCTTTGTTGGAGTGAAATTGTACTGTTTGTTGTCGTTGCACTGTGCATCATTATTGATTTATCCGGTCAATTTACCCTTGGTTGGTGGATGACTGTTTTCTTCCAAAGTAGATTATACACTGAGTCTACATCTACAAGTTTGTCGACTGACATTTCCTTTGAATGTCATCTTGCTCTAGAACTTCTTTTGCAACCTTGGAACCTGCTCTTTGAAGGATTTCCACATTCTCCCAGTCAAATTTTTGATCATAATTGTCTACATGCATTGAAACGAAGGAGATCACGTTGTGTAGCTTTACTGCCAGTTGATGTTCATGAATTCTTTGACCAATCCAACGGTTAGACTAGCCAACATAGTGCTGTGAACAATTTTTGCGATTGATTTTGTAGATTATATTTGTCCTGTTCTCTTTTTGCCACTGGATCCTTTGGTTTGCACAATATGCTGTGTACTGGTTTTGTTGGTTTGTGTGCCACTCCGATCTGGAACAAACAAAGCAGTTGGCTGATCGTTTCTGAGACATCCTTGATTTAAGGTATCATAACCAGCCTACTGTTTTGAGATAATTTCCCTTTCTTCTATCCGGCTTGTAAAATTGAATGGATAATCCTTCGTTTTGAACACGTTGTACAGGTATTTTTCTTCGGCTTTCGGTAGTGCTTCACTTCTGCAATGTGCTCTGGCTCTTGAGAGTAATGTCTGTACACAACATTTCTTATTACCTGCAGGATAAACTACGTAGTGATTCAAATCTGATCTGTGTGTGTGTGTGTGTGTGTGTGTGGTTTTCCTGTACACTTGAATTTGTAAAGTCCCGTTGTGTGCTCTTCTGATGAGGACATCTAAGAATGGAATTCTGTTGTCGAATTCCTCCTCCTTTGTGAAGTGAATTCCTTTAAATATTTGGTTGATTCGTTTTAACATGTTTTCTATTTCATCTTCCTAGAGAGTTTTATTATTA